CCCCAAAACCCCAAAACCCCAAAACCCCAAAACCCCAAAACCCCAAAATATTTTTGGATATTTAATTAAAATGGATGAAATAAATCAGAGTGAAAAGCAAGTAAGGACCTCAGTAACTCCTTCTAAAGAGGAGAGAAATTCTTGACCAACTCCTAAAAAGATCAAAGAGACTAAAGTGCCATTATTCTTAGCTTTTGATGTCTATGATTTCGCGGTTTACTGAATGATCATATTTCATATCCTTATTAATCCATACACGAAGAGTCATGAAACTTCTTTCGTGAATACACTGCATACCTACCTAGTTGAAGGAATTGGAAATCAAGAAGATTGCCTGCAAAATACAGAGTGCCAAAATCTTTATCAGGTTGAAGAATACTTCGGGCTAGTAAACCATTCTGTATTGCCATCCTTAGCTGCGTCAGCTCTAGTTTATCCATTCCATTACTTCTTTGTAAATATAAGAAATTATTCTGCTGTGATCTCCTTGTATATTATGAGAGTTCTTTTAGGAACAATTATGTTCCTCTCAATGAGATTCTTGAAGGTGACTCTAGTTAAATCTCTAAAGAGTACAACTATTGCAGAATGATTCAGCATGCTATATCTAGTGCAATTTAACACCCTTTCTTATAACTCAAGGCCAATTCCTGGAACTATAGCCTTGGTGCTGGCTAACTTTGCTGTTGCATATTGGATGAGAAGACAATGGGCTCCAACAATTTCTTTATTAATGGTTTCAGCAATAGTGTTCCAGAAGGAAATTGCCATTCTCCTTCTAGCTCTGATAATAGTCGACTTATTTAGATTCAAGCTTCCTTTAGTAAAGGTAGCTATTTGGGGTGCACTCACTGTAGCAGTGACGATCTCCATTAATTGAGCTGTTGAATACTATTTGTTTGATACTTTGAGATTCCAAAATCTAAATATTTTAGGTTTGATTAATATTCAAGAGGAAAATCATGATTCCCAGTTTCTTCCGTGGTATTGGTATTTCTTATACGAGATCCCTAAAACTGTTACAATTGCATTTCTAATCACCATAGTGTCCACAATGATTAAATCAAAAAGGGGGATTGTTAATAAAAAAGTTCTTAAAATAATATGTCCTGCTTTCTTATTCATCTGTATTTTATCAATTCTGCCAATCAAAAATGTGACTTATGCTCTTCCTGCATTCACTCTATTCAATATTTCTGGAGCAATAGGGCTCTCAAAGCTGATGTCAAATAATTCAAAGAACAAGATTTTAGTTACAGCTATCTTTATCTTTATCGTAATTGGTCTGTGAGGATCAACTGCCTATTCGAGCGTACAGATTTATATAGAGAACAATAAATATCCTGACGCGTATGCTTTGAGAGAATTCAATAGAGAATATCTAATGCTGCAATATAATTCAAATTCAACTAAAATAAGAGCACCTCCAAATATTCATATTGATAAAACTGCTTCAGAGACTGGAATAAACAGTTTCCTGTATGCAAACTTAGCTAAAGAATGGAAGTATAACACTACTAATCCTCTTTCAGATGAAGCAAAGCTTGAGTTCACACATTTATTTACTTCTTTAAGAAAAGTAGCAGGGTTTAAGCTACAAGAGAAATTTGAAATCTTCTCTGAGATTGATTTTTCATCCCAATCAGTTCTATTAAAGCCAAGGTAAGGTTTAATGGCATATTTTTTACCCTCTGGGCTACTTGCCATACCTATTTTCTTTGCTAACCTTTCTAGTATTTATCTCCTCGAGCGAGAGGATATTTACCAAGAACGAATCTCTCGTAGAACCAAACAAGGCACCAAGTGCAGTTCCAAGAATTAGTCTTTGTTCAATGAAAAATTATCAATTTGGGGTTTTGGGGTTTTGGGGTTTTGGGG